GGAAAGTAACAACTGTATTTTCACATCTCGTTTATTTTATAGTTATTGAGTAACCAGGTAATATTTTTCTTTAAACCAACATCCATTGAGAGTAAATTACACTTTTTTTTTTCAGGAAGGAAAATTACAAACAATAATAAAACGAAGACAAACTAAATAAAATATTAGATACATAAAAAAATTAAAAGATGTCCGAGAAGTTGCAAACATAGTTAAACAAAATTGAATGTAAAATAAACACATAACCAACTAAAGAAACAAAATGAAAAACATTACAAGTCAAAAACTTAGATGAAAATACACTCAAAATACAAAAGTAATAACAAAAACATAGTTTATTATTTACGCTAACAGTTGGGACACGCTGGGACAAGGGGGAGGGCACTGCACAAAACACGGACATTCTTTCTGGTAATATTGATATAAGCTAAACAGTTCCCCGGAGGGACAGCGGTAAGTTGTAAACACGCTAAAATCAGGAGTTCGATTCCTCTCTGTGGACGCAGCAGAGAGCCCAATGTGACTTTGGTATATAAAAGCACATTTAAGTTAAACATAACCTTAATAAATAAGCAATATTATTCCTAATTTCACAAATAAATCCCGAGTTATATTTGTGCAGATAAAACTTATGTTGCGATATTACAACTAAATATAGTTAAAAGAAAGTTTATGAATTACGATTACATAAACAACATCGAGAAAACACTCATTATCATCTGCCAAAGTATTATTAACCTCACCTGCACTAGTAAGGTGAAATTGGTAACTATTGAAGGTCTTCATTCAGAAGGAATGAAGCTGCTGGAAAACAAAGTACTGTATCGTATGGCTGGTAAAATCAAAATGGGAAACCAATAGGGCAGTAAATAGCCAGATAGCCCCTAGTTAAATCCGTAAATGTTGATCAGGCTGTTAATTTAGCTTTCCATAACCCTAAAGGGCAGCCAGCATTGAACAGGTAATGTAGTAAAAGCAAAGTCATAACTGAAGGTAGTCACTTGTCTGAGAAACTGTACCTGTATTTCTTTTGGCTACTAAATACTAAAAAGTCTACATCGTTCTCGTTGCCATCTTTAGCAGCTTCAAAACTGGGTAAAGTTTTTAGCCTTAAAAATTTCTAATAATTTTCAGTTACATATACGCATATATATGTTTATACATATGTAAGAAATATAGCCATCAATTCAACAAGCCCCCCCCCCCCCATTGACTTAACGGAAAGTCTGAAAGCTTATAACACAAAAACTGGGTTTCGTTAAACGTCGTGGGCACAGCACAGTTAGCCTATAGTGTAACTTTGCGCTTAACAACAAACAAACAAACAATTCAACAAAAACTCTCAAAGGGCTATTCCACATTCAACAAGAGCACAGTTTAAATTTATTCTGTTTGGCTGCTTTTTAAGACCTCTCCTCCATTTATTTGCATATGTGAAATTGGCTAATTATGATTTGCGATTGCTTGAAAACAGTAAATGCGGGGCCCTAGTAATATCATTATTATTATTAGATCTCCAAAACATTAGACAAGAACAAGGACCTACCCGGTTTCCAAAGAAACGTGATAGTGTACGTCCGTCAATTAGGAGAAACTTTATCAAAGAATGATTCTTTGACCGACTGTTTGGTCATTTGAGTTTATTAGCAGTGGCAATTGAAAGATTATTTCTCCTACTAAGAAGACTGTGGCTATCAACCGTTTGTGACAAGCTAAGGATAAAAGCGATTGGGCTGGATCATAAAATATAATGATCCCGACTAGTGAAAGTAGGTTTTCTCGGGGTACTCCCGTTTCCCGTCACATCAAATTCTTTGGCATTGGATCTATAGATCCCATCCTCGGCATTTGGATCCACTGATCCCCGCCAGGCCCTGTAAAGGCCCGTTTGTTTCATTTTGTTTCGATAACTTGTCGAAAACGGCTGCCGACTTTCTTCTTCTTCAAGATCAACCGGCCTCTGCTACGTCTTGGACTTGCCTTCACTTCTGCCTACTTGCCTCATCATCATACGTATATATACGGGAATATATATATATGTGTATTTTTTTCTTCTTCTTCTTCGCCCATATGGCTCATTAATCCGCTGACCATTAATTGAAATTTAACCTTATGCCCCGAGCAGGGTGAAGGAGGATTGCTAATCTTCGAGCACCCTTGATTAGTAATTATTTCTTAGGAAATAATTATTTTTAAATCAAAATAACTGCCAGAAACGAACGAACATAAAATACAATAGATATCATACTTTGCCTCAAGTAATTTACTCTTTCAACAGTGGTCAGAGTTCGACTATCTTCCAAATTATCATGAGAAAGCCGTTACAAATCTATCATATAGCAGCCGGCAGTCATTCTGAAAACTACTTACTTCAGATACAAACAGGAAAGCAAGGCTTCAGTGGTGTTTAGAACACAAATTTCAAACAATGAGTGACTGGAAGCAATAATCCACCATGTTGGTATTGGCCCATACTGGTTCGAAGAGCTTAATAATTTTTCTTAATCAACATAATTACCGGATCTCAATCTGAATAAACAATGAATACTAACGTCCTATTCGCCACCGCAATTTGCTTCTTTGTTTGTGTTTAAGTGTAAAGCTACCGCATCATGTCTACCACAGGTATTGAAGCCTAATTTTCTAGCATTATAAGCTGGTGTTGAAATACAGTTTCAATGTCAAAAGTGGAAGAGAATGGTAACATATCACCGTGGGTGGGATGCCAGTTGTATGTAGTATGGCAATCTTGTTAAAGAGATTTTGAAGGGTTGTAGATATATACTAATCTTTTTACTCAGACAATTTTGCATATGCCAATGACTAGAGATTCCTCTCTCTTTCGCCCTGTGACTGAACCTCTAAGGAGGGGATTCAAATTTAATACATGTACTCACTAATTACTTCTAAATAGAGAATTAGGGATTTCATCCAATTTTCTGTGAATTTGTAACCGGAAAAAATGCGAAAGATTATACAATAACATGCAATATGTAAAAACAATTCAGTAAATTAAGAGTTAAATATTTTAAATAGCGTAATAGTGTATTTGATAAAGTCCGAGTTAGAAAATAAATGAATTAAGCATATTTTTTAATAGTACTTATTTTAGTTATTTTAAATATTAAAACATAGAAAAACTAATCAAGTTACGAAAATATTTATTTTAAGTGTTATATATAATTAAATATGTTAAAACGGATATGTGAGTAGTTACAAGTTTTATAAAATAATAACAAATACACATTTGATCGGACTACAGGTTAAGAATGTGTTATAAAGTAATACTTTCTTATTGTTTAATTTTGTTTGAATAAAATATTAATTTTCTCTCTGAAAAACACTGAATAAGTATAATTCTAAAATAAGGTAATACCATAACAATTAAATGGTCCCTAAAATGTCGTCAAATTGCAGACGCTTTGCTTTAGCTGAAAAGTTATTAGCTGTACTGTACTGTAGAACGACCAACATTTGAACGGTTTGGTGTTATATACTATAGTATTGGAAAGTGAGTAGTGTTTCAGAAGTTTTTCATGCAATTTCACATTTGATTCTATAGCAACCAAAGTGACGTAATTGAATGCGAAGATTCCTTGGTTCTTAATTAATCAATTTTCTATTTCGAAGCATGATGTTGCTACAAATATACGTATTTGTGTGTGTATCTATCTATTTATATTTATATATTACTATTACGAGTATTACTCACTATCAGATTACTACTACTACTATGAGCTGATTCACCCGTTCCATACACAGGTGTCCAAATTACTTGAAATAGGTATTTAAAACACAATGAAATTACTTCTAAGAACATATATTTATAAATTCAATTGTCATAACGTTTTAATTTTTATCTAAACTTTTGATTTTCAAAACAAAAATTACATAATCTAAATGAAACTTCTTGATAATATGATTTACCACATTGGCTGTTGAGTGTTGTTCCTTCTGACAATATAAACAGGTTTTGATGAGACCCAACCCTTGAACATCCTACATGATAGAAATGACCATGTGAAAAGCAAGGTTGCTTTAGGAACAATTCAGCAACCTTTAAACTTTGACCTTGTGCTTTATTAATTGGCATTGCAAAACAAGTCATAACTGGGAATTGGAGACTTCTAAATTCAAAGAAGTAATCATTTGGTAGCAAAGGAATTCTTAAAATGAAGACATCTTCACTTTTGACATGACCAGTTGTAATTGTTGTTTCAATAACATGTGGCAGTAATGTCTTAACAACTAAACTTGTGCCATTACATAATTTTGGAGAATCAAGATTTCTCAACAACATTACTGGTGAACCAACATTTAATATGAGAATGTGACCTGGCATCCTTGGTGGGTCAAGAGAAGTTAGGAATTCAGTTGGATAATTTACAGCATCAACTGTAACTGGAATACTGACAGTTGAGTTCTAGGTGAATTCCTGTCTGGGAACATTTTGCAATAACTGATTGTTTACATCATGAACAGTATCATTTTGAGTTGCAAGAATTGCTCTTTTACACAACCATTCATAATTTTGACAAATATTAGGGAATACATTTTCCTTTAGCTCTTCTGCATCCTTAACTAAATTACCACACTTGTCTGGAATAGTAATATAATTATTTGATTGATTGATTGGAAACTTTCCAACACTAACTTAAGAAGAAGTTTCTGAATTAAACTGTTTGCTTTTATATCACTGAAATTATTAAAAAAAGAGAAAATAAACCACAAATTAACATGTACATTAAGCATACAACATAAACAACATTGTCGGCCTAACAACAATATTGTGGTAGTTTTATTGTTAAGCAACAGTGCATAGCACTGAGTATTACCAAAAGGAGTAGTAACTGAATTAAATACCAAAAATTAGTTTTTGTGGGAAACCTGGTGGGAATTTTGGTGTTATTTCAGGGGACCCTAGGAATCACGATGCCAAGTTTGGTGGTGTTTGGTCAAATAGTGTGTGAGTGGTTAGTGGACAGACAAACATACAATTTCACTTTTATATATATATAGATAATAATATATACATGTACACATCTGCTGAACCGGACCACACATGTTCATAAGAATAAGACTAAGAATAACAGAGTAGCACGTGTAATGAAGGAATGTAATTATTAAAACTGAACAAATGATTTACAAATTTTTGATATTACAATTATGACAAGCTGTAGCGGTTTCTACTTCTAAGTTCTTTACCATCCTTTTGTTAAGCTATGTCAACTACATGAGTTCATAAAAGTAAAAGGCCCATCTAACTAACCCCTGCCAACCACCAAAATAACCATACCTATACACATTATATTAATAATATAGTTTGTTCAAGACTTCAATTTTAAATACCATTGTTAAGATATATCTAGTTTTACAACATTACAAATTGGAAATATTGTTTAACTTCAAGCCTTTTTTTATAGATCGTGATTCTTAAATTAGGTATTTATTCTATAATTTTGTAAAAAGATTATGAAATAGCACACATGAGCTTCACCAAAGTATTGTATAATATCAACAGCTTCCTTATTCCTAAATGCAAAAAATCTGTAACAATACATAAACTTAGCGAAAGGTTTCAGACAGTAATTAATAATTATAGCTAATTCTTTTATTTGTTTTAACAAGACACCAAAATTTCTCTCACGTGGTTATGAATTCAATTATGCTGAAATAGAGTAAACATGTTCTCTTGATGAAATAATAATTAATAGTGAAACATTGAGAAAACTAAAATAAGTTTTATTTACTGAAATATAACATTGTGTAGTTATTTTCAATAAATCAAAGCTCTTTGTTATGCGTTACAGGCAATTCCATTGTTAAATTTCATTTTTCACATTATTCCTTACTCTAAGACTGTCTAATCTTTCAGTTTCAAATCAGTATTATTTACAAAATGGATATTCTTAGCAATTTAGTTTCAAAAATACCAGTAGAAAAAAAAGTTTAAAACATTCAACTGTATTGTAATGTTAGGTTAAAAGATTTTATATTTATATCATCATAAGATATAATTATTGTGATGATGTCCATGAGAAATTGTATAATGATATCAGCATTTTCACTTAACAATGATTGAAATATTGATGCAGTAATCATGAGAGACTTTAATTTTAGACATAATTTTTAAGTGGTACAGAATGATTTTCTGTATCAAATGGTCAAGGAGCCAACCAGAGGGACAGAATGGATGTCATTTTAGATTTATTGTTAATCATTAATGAGGATGTCATTTTAAGATAGAAAGTGGGGGTAAATTTAGGTAAGAGTGATCATTGCATCGTTAGGTTTGATATTTTGCAACATGATAAGATAAAAAACATTTTAGTTCAGAATGCCTGTTATGGGGCCATGAGAAGATTATGCATAGAATTGATAGGATAAAGGTTTCTGATTTGTTTATGCTGTATTCTGAAAACAGTAGGATAAAAGGACATAAGTTTAACATGTAGAAAAGGCAAGCTAGGCTCAGCTAAGACAGTTCTTTGTTTTTATCCAACAGAGTGATTAATTTGTGGAATAAGTTGATATCAGCAGATGTGGAGGCTGGTACTTTGAAAGAGTTTATTTCCTGAAAAATAAAGGATGTATTTAAATGTTATTTTTTTCTCAGAGGTAGGTAGGTGTACAAGAACATCCTTGAAGTACCAAATTGTTCATTATCCAAATTGTTGTCATGTATAAAGTAAAAAAAAAAGTTAGAAAAGTGGATTATGAGTTGTTTTTTTTGTCAGGAATGAAGAGGTATTCACAACTTTCCCCTTCCCAAAGGCTTTCAAATAATTAATTATCTCTGCCACCGAAGGTTATGTTTTCATCCTTGTGTGTGTGTGTGTGTGTTTGTCAGCAGGATTTCTCAAAAACGGCTGAATGGATTTGGATGAAAGTTAGTATACATTTGGAATATGACCTAACTTAAAAGTGATTAGTTTTTGGAGGGTCAAGATCAAAGGTCAAGGTCACGAAAAAAAAATCCCTATCTGTTAATATGACAGCTGATTTTTCACGCTATTTTTGCTCTATAACTCAGTCAAAAATGATTGGATTTTGATGAAACTTAGTGGACATATGTAGAATATTATTCCTCATTGTCTTGCCAAAAATGGTCCATGTCAGTTGATAATGACCTATATATACGGAGAGTTGTACATGATCAATGCTGTGTGGCAGAGGTATACACTCTACTGAGTGTCCCTCTAGTTCTTTTTGTTTTTGTCAATTGCTTTTAATATTTTATTCATGTTTATTATTGAAACTGGTTGAAACACAAAATAGTTTTTCTTCAAACAATTTTCATAATTTGAGTTACAGCATTTGAAGGGTGATTAAGTCAGTGTTCACGCTGTAAACTGGTGCCACTACTGGCAACCAATATATATGTAATTAGAGTAGACTGTTACATGTAGTAGCTTGTGCTTCTAATTTGGTTTGTTACTTGTTATTATGTGCACTGTTTGGTTCATATATTTTTTATGACCTATTATATTTGTCAAAATTCTTTCACTCCCTGGGTATCACAGAATTGTTTTTTCTATAAAAGGATTTAAGAAAAAATAAGACTAAACTTTTAAAAGTAAAATTTTGACCTGTCATATTTACTTGCATGTTTTTCTAATTTTTTTACAGGTTTCTAACATTTTGGAAGAACAACAAGATGAGAATATTTCATTGTTTGTTGAGAAGACCATGTTTGAATAATTTGCAGGTACATCCGTATCAAAAGTATTCATTTATTTGCAGTCACCTCCCTACACGTCAGTTTTCTCAAGCCCATGAAATGTTTATATTGCTGAACACTAGGACCTTTTATTCACAAACATTAAGAAATGCTCCCGAGAAATTTTTACAAACGATGTCTAACCCTTTGCATTCATGTGTGCATTTTATGAGTGGATCTGGATCTGAACATGTAGATTTAAAGAGGTGGAAATTAATAAAACGACTCTTTTCAACTTTTTTATTTGGTAGTACATTGATAATAACTATCTTTGTCAAAAGAAAACGACAGAAAAACATCAGAGAACTACTACAAGACTGTGATGTCCTACCCCATGATTCAAACTACTCAGAGAATATGGTCTTTACAAGCTACAAGGGCTATATTATTCCACAGAATCTTTTTCTAAAGGGTATTATGAGAGACCTGATGGGTTTTAAAGTACGTGAAGATGATATTTTTGTAGTTTCTTTTCCCAAAACAGGTATGTTATTTGATTTCTCTATATGTACATGTATTTGTTTACAAGTAATTTTATCAAAAATATTTATTAGCAGTTTAGAACAAAAGAAGGATTAAGCTGCAGTACCTAATTTGATCCACTGAGATTGCTAAAATTACTAACCAAAGCCAAATGTAGCTTTTTACATCCACATGAGAAATATATAGAATTTAAACTAACAGAACAAATAACGTAATGAAATAAACTATGCCATACGTTTTTAAATCTAATATGCAAATAATTTTTTCAGGGACCAATTCTGTGTCTAAGTTTTCAAAGTTTGTATTTTCTACTTTTACCACTTAAGTTTGCATCTCTTTGTGGGTTTTACACTACTCAAACAGAACATCCACAGGAAGACTATCTAAGCCCCTAACGAATTTAAACTTCTGAATCAAGCCTTGTCCATTACTTCTATATGTATGCTACATAGAAAACAAGTCCAAATATTTGAATCACATTTTGCAGAATTTTTAAACCTAGCAGCATTTTAATAAGTAGTATCTTTATTCATTCTAGTATGTAGTTATATTTGCTTTAGTTAAGAGGCCAACTTTGCACACAGTATTTCAAATAAGGCCTCACTGGACTAATACAGAGTTATTAAATACTTAAAGTAGAAATTCTTTAAATACATGCCAGTTAAACACTAGGCTGAATACTTTAACCTTGTTTCAACAACTATACATATATTCCTTTCAATGCTCTTTTCATAGGGAAAAATAAATACTTTTCCAAATTTTCATACCTTCATATTTTACACCTCTCAACATTGAAACTTATTTTCTAAATAGTGACCCAGTTGTTTAAAAATGTCCAGGTGTGTCTGAGTAAAAGAAACATTCAGTAAAACTAGAATATGACCAAGTTTAGAAATATTACAGACTGTGAAGCTATCTATATTGTTAATACATGTAATAAACAACATACTTCACAAAATAGATTCTGAGGCTTTTAGTGTGAAAAATGATTTTTATCACTTCCCAGTCTTCTACCACTATAAAAACACAAATGTCAAAAATGACCAATAATTGCATCATCAAATTATATACATGCTTCATCCAAAAAAGCATATAAAAATTGGGTAAGATTATGAGTATCCAGTGATAATTAGTATTAATTAAAAATGGATAGAAATCTGCTGAAACCTGTTGATAATCTAATTTCTCAACCTACTAACATGTAAAAATGCAATATAGTAATATCTGTAATTGCATTGAAGAAGTGGTTTTGTGTACCTTGAATTTGTCCTAAAGATATTCGAGGGCTATCTATGTTAGCCATCCCTAATTTAGCAGTGATAGACTAGAGAGAAAGCAGCTAGGTAACACCTCCCACTGCAAACTCTTGGGCTTCTCTTTAGTTTCACCAATGAATGGTAGGATTAACTGTCACATTATAATGCTCCCATCGCTGAGCATGTTTGGTGATGATGATTTGAACCTGCAACCCGCAAGTTATGAGCAAAGTGCCCTCACCACCAGGTCTTCAAAAATTGAAAGGATAAAAATATGCAATGTATGTTTGTGTTGAAGAAACTTTGTAGAATGGACGGTAACTGCCTGTTGTAGAGACAAAAGTGTAGAGGACGATGTTTTGAAAGTCTGCCGCCTTTCGTCTTTGGGTCTGTCTTAACAACTGGCAGTTGCAGTCCATTCTACAAAGTTTCATCATGAATAATACTCTACCTAAACAATCTATCAAAGAATATGGTTGTGTTCTTTACTTCAATCAGGAATTGGTACTGTTTCGTCAGCGAGGTCATGTGACTAGCGTCACGCCATGTTTCTAGAACTATCCTGTTCCTTCGG